ATGTGTACAATTTGCACATGGTTCCCAAGAACACAAGTTACTAGTCTACCAGTAACAGATACCAACTGGATTAGTTTTTCTCAAGGCACTTTGTGCAGTAGAATACGGCGCGTTGTGGCGTATTAATTCTGAGGTAATTTTAAAAATGTCCTACTATTATCACCGTATGGACCAGAACGAATTGAGAGGGCATGGCTAAGCACAGAAAGTAATGTGAGTGTCATCAAAGTTCGGTATTTTAGTGACGCAAGTCCTATCATCTATCCAAAGTGGACAACATTAGTTTTGACTGCTAGGTTGGCGACCTTGGTACTGTTGGCGTTCTGGACAGAGCAAGAATTTACTGTTCACAACCATCGTTTTCTGCACACCACTGTGAGTGTTGGCTAGCCACATGTGTGTGCATTGAGTACGTCTTCCAAGTGACCAGAAAAACCAGGCTACCATTAGCATATACTAGACTGCAACCGTTTAGTTGTCCACACTTTGTATGCTATCTCCGGATCGTCATTTTTTTCACGTTTATGAATTGAGAACTGCTTTCCCTTGTGCAAATTACGGTCTTATTACTGCGGGGAGGGTTAATGTGCTCGGTCTCAAATACAAATGGAGATAACTGTTTCGTACGGAGGTCAATAAACCGTCCAATGCGGATACGGATGTATCTCGCTGTTTGGTGTGATACTTTAGTCACGTTATGAATAAAATATAATCAAGCAAACATTTCGACACCCCTTCTCGGAGGAAATTATACCGAACCAGCTTGGAGGATAAATAGAATCCACCAGAGTGAATAAATAGTCTCGTGACCAATAAAAGGGCTCAATTGTACTTGTTTAACCTGGTGACATGGACTCAAGACAAAACTGCAACAGAGAAAACCCGACATGTATCACAAGACTTTGACTAGCCTGAATACAACCAGCCAACATATATGCCAATCAAACTTTCAGAAGATTCACTGCTATACTGTGCCATTCATCTCGTACTCGCCTCAACGGTACACACGCTTATGGAATGTAATATTTGTTAGCCTGCTCGTCGGAATGATCGAAATTTGTTCCTAGCATCATCGTGTTTGTACCAAAAGTTCATACAAAAAGAGACTGGAAGAATCAATGTTTTATTTGAACTGTGGGAAAATACACGGTGAAGGCACTGTTCACTGACCGTTTTCCTACGAAATGTCGAACGTATTGTTTGCCTATACATTTTCACTAGACTTCAAACCTCACCCGCCTGGCTGGGCAACAGATACCGATTTGGTTTTAACGGGGGAGACTTAATGGAATCTAAGCTGAAACACTCATTCATGATATTCTGGGATATCAAAGAGGTCATAGCAACCTTATGGGTGTTTTCCTTCAAGGAAATATTTTTCTACTAGCTGTTACCGTAAACGGCATTACCAGAGCACCCATGCTTTGAACACACTGAAAAAGATTGACCCGCAGAATGCAAATTAAAGAGAGACAAGAGCTTGTCTTACCAGCATCTGACGTGCACGGTAAGAATCTGGGGCGTAAACAATCACTGCGACACACAGGTTGACCGCCTCCAGGACAGACCAATTTCCTTCGTCATCTTCGTAACAGAAATCCTCGAAAACGAATGAAAAAAAGTGCTTTAAATCGTAGAGTTGACCTCCGCGTTATAAGCAGACCGTTATGATGTGAGAATATCGTGGCAAGATTTTAATGCACTGCAAGATACTATGCGCGGATGATAAAAACTAGTCACTGTGTCGTAACTTGATTGCTGAATAAAGAGCCAGCCTCTAAAACGCCAGTCTGATCAGATTACTTTATATGGGAAGCAAATAACTATATGACAATCATAAGGAAGGCAATGTTGTGGAATGTAGGTAGCTCGGGTTCACTGCTTGGTTGTCGGTCTGTTCGCCGAGGTTGGCAGTTGGATTGCAAACGTTTCATCACTAATCGTAGTGACATCGTCAGTGCGGGGTTGAGTGGCGATGTCACCTCGATTGGTGATGAAACGTTTGCAATCCAACTGCCAAGTTCGGCGAGCAGACCAACAACCAATAAGGAAAGCTTTCTAAGTCAGCGGCATTCGATCACAATTTTCAAAGATACTGTCCAGCTTAGACTGCCTGAAGCACAGTGGCCTGAATAAGGCTCTTTCTGAGAAGAAAGAGCGAAATGTCTCGGATTTTGAATTAGTTCCAGATTTAATCTAAAAGTACACTCTAGTGTGGCCAAAGGTTTAAAAATCGTAGTTTTGCATAGATGCAACACACTGGTTGTTGAAAACTCTCCGATAGTACGTGATCGGTTTCTCTTTTCTTGGGACTCATCAGTCCCCGAGGAATCACTAAGTTTCCGTGAATCTAAAATTCCAACTTGAACCCAAACTACACGAAATTCGACCTATAAACTCATCCGCATACCAATTTGGTTTTGACGGGAGACTCATCTGAACACTAACTGAATCATTCTTCTGTATAAATCGATTTGTTAGGCATGAGTCAGCAGAGTAGGATTTTTTGTAGAGGATTATAGGTACGCTTCTGCAAATTCGTAAACTTATACAAAACGTCCGCTGATGGGGAAGGCTAATGAAAGGGCGATTTGTCCACATGATTCCTCCCAAACATAATTTGCGCTATCGTGTTACAACCCATTTACCCTACTCACTGCACTACTCACATTTATATCTTACCAGACTGGAAAAAAATCAATAAAATCGTTTCCGTTATCCTATAACAAGAAGCTCGATAGCAAACAGAACCGTGGATACCTCGCCCTTCGGATAAATCCTGGCATGCTGAATATAAGCAAAGGTTCTACTTGCTTGAATACGCCTAAACAACTGAAGACAACGTTCCTGAGCCTTCAATAGAAACTCGCTGTGGCTGTGGCGATTTTATTAATTTTTTTCAAGTCTGGTAAGATATAACTATGACTAGTATAGTGAGTAGGGTAAGTGGCTTGTAACGCGATAGCGCAACTTAGGGAGCTGGAAGGTATAGTTGATCGTGCTCTAGGTCGTTGGGAGCGTTGCGTGCTAGAGGTTCGCGATTTAAGATGTCTTCTGAATAAGGCTCGTCTATTGGAGGTTCAGAAAGGTTGTCTTCAGTTGATTAGGCGTATTTAAGCAACTAGGAACTTTGCTTATATTCAGCGTGCCAAGATTTGTCCAAAGGGCGAGGCATCCACGGTTCTCTTGGCCAGCGAGTTTCTTGTTATAGTATATAGTGTAAAGTTAATAAGGTAAGCACTGGAGGAATGTATCCGAACCTCGGGTAGTTGTCTTGAATGAATGCCTCTTCTGAACGAAACGGAATGACGAGTTCTGCGAAAATGGGATCAAAAGGCTGTGGAACGAAACTGGCAACCCAACTCGCTTTTAAGAATAAGTCAAATCAAAGACATAAGTTCAGTGTGGCTAGGTGAGATGCGCTGCAGTAGTAGCTATGCGTATATAAACCTATAGAATGTTGAGGAATGAAACAGCTTTACAGTAGGAATTCCACTAAATCATCCATAGACTCACAAGTGCTTTCAGTGGTTTCTGCACGTTGCATAATTCCAGTATTCGCAGGTTGTCCGGTAGTGGCCGGTTGATCAATCGAAGCAGTCTATAGAGAGTAGCTGGTTGAATCTAAAGTAGAAAGCCATAAGCTGTGATTTGAGCAATATGTTTAGGAGCGAAACATGTTCGATAAGCTGTGGTAGAAAGGAGAAAAACAGAAGTGCTTCGGTCACCTTAACTTGCTTGGTAAAAACTGTCACCCATCATGCCGTCCGGTGTATCTACACAGACCGCTAGTATTTAAGTAGTGAGGGCTTAACCTTGCACGTGATCCCATAAAGGGTCGCATAGAAGCTTTTGTTCGATGCTTTCATGCCTATGATTTTTTGATGCTCCGTAGTCTTTAATAAACAGTTTATGAGTGAACTAACAAACATACAAACGTAAGCTTCGGAAAGGCAAGTCTTCCACCAAGGATATTAGAAGGTGTAAGTTCATGAAAATTCGCAGCCTTCATGAAAGCAACATATCCTGGCAGGATGTATTGGGCTTTTTCAAATTTACGTCATATTCAGTCATACCATTCCAACATGGACTCCAACCTTTGGGATCTCAAGTTTCCTTGTTTTCTCACTCCGAACTTACCGCGTTTCTGGTTTCGGACTACTTGACCATTTCCATGGGCAAGGTTTCTCATTCATTTTTAACATTATGACAACAAGTGGTGAGGATACTAACATAACGCTGGACACGTTCATTACAGTATGTTGTTGAAACTGCATGTTTCAAAAATGCAAGTTGAAGTGGATGCTTCATAATTAGGCGAAATTTGATGCGAAAGTGCCAGAAGCGTTCCCAAAAAGTCATTGAAAAGTAGTGTTCCATCCTTTTTATATCCCTCTTACCCAATTGTCCGGTCATGTATGAGTGTTAATTCCTGTAGTAAACGTATGGCCATGCTGGGAAATACTCAATCAGACGAACGTTTTTGTCGCACTGGATTAGGACTGCTAAGGTATTATTCTGCGTGGTCTATTGTTGGATCCCGATATGGGACGAAACGCTCGTGTGGCTTAGTTTTTGGGGACCTGGTGACAGCTTTGCCGCAACATTTGGTGTGATCCAGGCCTATGGTTCGTTAAACAACAACTGGTGACTTTTCAGATCAGGCAGTCTGTTTACCTGTTGCACAGCCCTTTGCCGCATAGAGGCATAGGTTGGCTCAATTTCAACATCAAGTCTTGACTGGAACTTTCACGTGTGCATGTAATCTGCTCAACAGTGGCAAAAGTAACCACCAGTTGAGTGGCGGTTGAGAACTTGTCACACAAGAAACTATTCGACGGTGAATCATTTGGAACACTTGAATAGTGTGATATCTAAGTCTGGGTAAATCGATCTTTCAATCAACTATTCATGGTCGAATTGTATAGTGTTCGGTCGCTAACTAAAAGCTTGTGGATTCAAATCACCCTAGAGTTTCGCGAGACTGCTGACATAGCTGCTCCGTGGCTTGTCAGCATAAATTTCTTTCACTTGCAAGATAAAGCCTCATTGAAACTCCAAAATCTCATCACCACATATGCAATCTCCGTTAACAATCAAAGGACTGACCGATTGAGTCAGCGGTTGAATGAAATCAATCTGATGGGTTAACGTCGTTTTGATGACAAAGATTTAATATGAGTGGGTTTTGAACATGGATTTGACCATAATTACATGCAAAGTTTCGAAAAGAGGTTAAACTGTAATGAAAGATCGACTTGGAATGAACTATGGCTCCCGGATGCATGTACCAGGGCCGCAACCGACTTCGGGAATACACGATTAGAATCGTTTCGCAGCGGTAGCCTCGCATGGTCTAGGCAGGTAAATGATATCCTCTGCTGCATAAAAATTGTGGATTTCGCTATCAGACGGAACCAGCGTTTTTCATATTTACTTAGTGTCTCTGCTTCTATTTAGGGAGCGACAGAAAATACCAGTAGCCCGTAAATGCATAGTTTTGGGGTTAGCTATCTGATCGCACAAAATGTGTCATTGATTTACCGGGAAATGACGACAAATAATTTGCTGACGGAAAGGTTCTTTCTGTTGACTTGTTTCTTCTATTCTCGTTGTGTACAATGTGAGCCCCCTTTTGTTGTTTCTGTTTTGTGCCAGTACCGCCTTCTTTGTTTTTGACCTGAAGGGAATCGCTCAGTCCTCGCACGTCTAGTTTAAATCAGCTGTGTGGTTTCCGCCATCTTGCGGCTTCCTTGCCTTGAGTTACTGTGAACTTTGGGATCTCATTTGGAACTAGCTGTTCCTGAACCGGTGTACAGAAGCCGGCATAATCCCACGATTTGGTGTTTGTACAATTGCATTACTTTATTAATTTATCCATAGTACCGCATTTGATGATAAACGTCCATCCGAACGATTTGACTTTTGGGATTTTGCGCGTACGTCAACGTGGCTCAATCAATACTTTCAGCCTATTCCGCCCTGTTTGCCAAAAATGTTTTTACTTTCAAGTTCCTCAGTCCTTTCGGTCATTCTAGAATATAGTGTGAATTCACCTCCCGATGTTCTCTTTGACTGTAAGAATTATTGTTTGATTCTCACTAGACTAAATTTAGGCACCATTCAATGTTGAAACAAACTATTTATCATCTCTTCTCCCCTGAGATGACAATTCACTGAAAAAAACAGTTCCTTTCTGTGTGAGAAGCAGGAAAACAAAGTGAGATTTATCCAAAGAGCCTCGCCGAATTGTTCTGCAAAAGGCCGTCGGCTTTTGGAAGTGTGTAAACACAAGTGACTTGTCACGTACTGTTTTTTCCACATTTTTCTAATCGAATGAACCAAAAATATGAAAATATTGATGTAATCCACTGCCGACCAAATCTGCTCCCTGAATGGGCTTCCGCTTCTCTCATGGATAATCCTTACAAGTTAAGCTGAAAACGTGTGGACGTGCTACATCCAGTCCGACTACCCTCTATAACTGCATTCTACCGTTATTCAGCTATCACTTGAATTTTTAGACTGAACGCAATTGCATCGGACAGTCTAGCGCTGGCCGGTTAAGATATGCTACACTTTATCAAGATGGATAGAGTGTAAAACAAAAAAAAATTAAATTTTCCACTCTATAGGCTTAGAAAACAACAAAGGTGGGAATAAACATACACGATAAAAATCATCATCCATTCCAGTTCGTTCATCTCCGACGGCTACGTAATTGGCCAGGCTGCCAAACAGCTGTAGAATGAAGGGAATCCGATGCATGACGTAGAACTGGCGGCAGGTGAACTCTACCGCCTGAGTGAGGACAGCATTGTGCGTTTGTTGGTTGTAGACACGCAACAGGGTAGGAAGAATCCCGGCGTATCCGCTTGTGGAGAACGCCATTTTGAACTGATGAGAGCACTGAGAAAAGAGGATATTCACAATAAATTTAAGTAGCTTGTAAAGAAATGCTTCTCATAAGTTAGCGCGATGTAAGTCAAATCAAACAATATCGTGATATCAAATATGGCAAGTTAACGGTAATGCTTTTTCCTGGAGTGAAAATATGGAGAGTTTTTGGTTAAATGGAGAGTAATCAACAGTTCCATTTAGATTTGAGTTGTGGCAGTTTCCCGACTACATTCTTCGCAACCCAGATTTGAACAGAAGAGTTTGGACAAAGTCGATTTAGCTTTGTAGACATTTTAGCACATTAATATCCACAAAAAAGGGACCATTTGCTGGCTAGATCCAGTGTACTAGAGTCAACGTAACCGCCTGTTTGTAGGTCAGAAAGCACTCGCATTGCGGGAAAAATCGCGCAAAATGGGACAACCGCTGAAAAAAATGCAGCAAGCCAATGTACAAACCGTGCACAAATTCAGGTGAAGTGACTGCTTTTGGACAGCTGTCAATGATAGGTACTGAAAACGTAACTATATGTAACTATGCTACATATAGCCTGCGGTAAAAGAGCACCGGTTGGAGAAAGCAGACCAGAGCATAATAACTTGATTTACGTTGAGCACATATATGTTTATCATTTTTTAGCTCAGACGGTTGAGTGATGTCTTTTGGTCAGTTTTTTGTACTCAAGGCCATGTTCAGTGAGTTCGTACGCAGGTTCATATGTACTCCTCGGAGATAATCATAGAGAAGCTTGACAAAAAGACCACTATCATACGAAACATACAATCATTCTGAAACTGTCACCTTAGGATCTGAAGTGAGCCTTTTTAACAAAGGATTTTCGGAAGAGAGACTTCCTCACAGGACAGTCCACTTTGTGAATTCCTCTCTCGACTTCCTTCGAACGAGTTATCTCTAGAGAGTTATCTCTATCTCTCCGTAAGGGTTCCAGAATTTTCTTCCCTAAGAAGGGATTTTCTTACTCAGAGGCCAGGGATTTCTATAGAGGAACTCAGTAAGACACTTGACATGCAGCTGAAGCTCCCCCTTCCGATTTCTTCTCCTTGAATCTCCCGAGGTGAAGCCCCGTTCCAATATAACTATTTGATCTCAAAGAACAATGTTGCATACTAGCGCAAGCAGAATAGAGCAATGACCTTCATTTTCATTACACAGTCTTCTAGTCGTCTTGAGGAGAGGTTGTTCTAGACAGTTGAATAAAAGGAACGCCGGACACCTGACTTTGACAGTGTTCTTTTCATGCAATTCAAGCAACATTTCGACCGCACTGGTTCCTTGTTCATATAGACTTTAGACGAATAACGACTAATGAGATTGCTTTGACCAAAACGAACTGGGAATCAAAAATGACGTTACAGGAAGCCAACCAAGCCATCCAAATAGCATGTGCAGTTTTCTTCCGAAATATTAACCGAAATGAGTGTATCCAGTCAAAGATGTTCGTTTTTAATCGCATCAGGCATATCAGTCGAGGATTAGTGAATACTTCCTGTATAATCATCGGCGACCCGGTACCACATAATACATGAAATCATATACATTACCCTACATCCGAAGAGGGTTCATGCTCCGCACGAAGTAAAAAAAAAGCACTTTTTGCAACCCTTCCAAGAGATTGGTTTAACCACTTCAGTACAGAATTGAAGCTTGATTTCGATACAATTCCTGAATAAGCAGTATGCCACGCAAATGATGCAAAACGTGCAATAGATTTTTCAGTCATGTGAAAAATACTTGTAACCGATTGAGCAGTCATCGTTTTCCGAAAAGTTTGGTGACAATCAGTAGATTTAATGCTGGGCAACGTTTTGCTTTTGACACAAAAGCTTCGTCAGACCAAGTGACTAGGGCACATTATTACCATCGCTGGAATGTATAACACATAAGATTGGTAGAGAATTATCTACCAGAAACCAACAGAAACAGGAACCGTCTTAGGGTACTCATCAGCACACCCAAAGTCCGTGTACGCCAGTATTGTCTCATCGATGTTTCGTCAAGTTAGAGCGCTGTGCACAGAAGAGATCGACCGAACGGCAGCTCTAATCGAGATTGCCAATAAACTTCAGGAAATAGGATACCCAGTGAGTTTGATTAGGCGTCAATTAAGGAAGATGTTGGCTCCAGTATCTAGACACAGTAAGGAATGGATTGGCAAAGTAGTCATTCCACATAAAGCAGGAACATCGGTTATTCGAAGACTGTTGAACCTAGCCAACATTCTAGTAGCTTTCCAGGATGGAAAAACGCCACGCTCAGTTTTGATGCAGTTGGTCTACATGCAGTAAGGTCTGCATATGACAAACTGCCAGGGAATAGCACATCAGAATTGGTGAGCATAAAAGAAAGCTAAGCAAATCACCAAGGAATGCAGAAGAATAGCAAACGCTGATCAAAGACTGGGCGATGGCGGCACATGCCTTGGACACGGGATATAGAATAGATCTGGAGAGTGCGGAAGTCTTAAGACGGGGTCTGCAATTCACACCACAGCGGCTGATAGCCGAGGCAGTGGAAATTACTAAGCATCACAGCGTGAATAGAATTGAGGGTGTGTAACTGGCGAGCGTATGGAAAGCGGCCTTAGATAAGCCGAGTTGACACGAGACGGTGTGGTCGTCAATCCACGTAGAATCATTAGCAAAAACTGGGGGGTGGGGGTGGAAATCCCAACCTGACCAAGGGTCACAGCATCCCTCTTACACAACTTTCTTAGCACTAGCTCATCCACACAGACGGACAGAAGGTTCAAACGACGTTCAAGAGGGACCATCAAATGCATCGAACCAGAAGAACTGGACTTAAACGCATGTAGGTTTCCCCATCGGCCCAACACTTGTTCCCCCCACCCTAACACACATAAATCCCTCAGTCGACACCCAACAGAGATTCAGCTTGAATTAGCTGTTTGGTTCTCCTTCCGCCTTAAGTCTTGACCAACCTCGAAACCTAGCAACTTGGTCTGACGAAGCTTTTGTGTCAAAAGCGAAACACTGCCCAGCAATAAATCTACCGATTGTCACCAGACTTTTTCGAAAACCTTCACTTGGTTTTCTTTATTGTACTTGTTATGATATCCGCTCAGAGGAAATGAAAATACACTGAACTTGTCAAAAACGGATCCAACTAACCTGTATGTAAAATGCGAGGCACTGACGAAGCACGGAAGAATCTTCCGCAAGCAGAATAAGTGTCCCATTGTAGACATTCAAAAACAGTTGCAGATCTGCAGACCATGGGTAGGTGTTCGGCATCCGTTCGAACAAGCTAGAAAGAAGTTCACACCAAGATATCTTATGAACTGTGTCTAGTCCAAGCAACGGTTGACCAAGCTCCTGTAGACCGTATAGTCCAAATTCAGACTCCAACGCCTTTCGTGGGAACGACGGGAGTTTGGTAAGCTCTTCATGCAGGAAGAACACGTGATTGGAAATCTGTAGCAAGGAAAAGAATTTGGACCATAGTGTCACTGTTTGTGGAAGTCTTTCTATGGAAAAGTACACCTGGTTGAACAGCCTACTGGCACGAAAAATCGGTTGCGAAGTGCCTCGGGAGGCTGCTTTGTCCAATCGATAATTGTATCTTATTTGTACCGGACACCTCAAAAGTACAAGACTTCGGCTCACCATGCCTGAGGGTTAGCTTGCACCGAAACAGCAGTGTTGTAAACATATGATAGTCAAGTGCCCAGGTTAGCTTCCGGTCGAGTGTCGGCTCTACTGTTTTGTTGCATTTTGCCTTGATCATTATATTGATTGATCGATCATACTATTTGGAGGCTTACAGTCCATTAACCTATCACCTAAACTGCTTGTCGTTGCACATGCTGATTACTTGTGAGTGTGTTGTGGGTGGTGAGGCGATTTGGAGGTCTTTGTAGGAATTTACCACAAATGAAACCAATTTAAGTTGAAAAAAAACGAAAAGCACTGAACAGCCAATTAGTAGCTGTGGAAACAATCAGAGGACTTCTGGTGATATTTGAGTCTGTGTCTTTCCGCCTAGTGTGTGAACAGCACCACTCGACAACGGGTGCAAAGCGTATGGCTGATTTGTACCTGGTAGTAAGAGGTTTCAGCATCACACCCGTCTAAACAGTCCTACTGCTGTGGTGGGCTTATTCTGGGTAGTGCACAGTGCATTGAACTCCAGTTCCTCTCTTAGTGGAACTCACCAAAAGTTGTCATTAATCTGTCCGGATCGGCAGTCTCATCTACCGATATGCGGATCGAGGTGATAATTTGCCAGTCTAATTCCCGGCAAAACAAGGACGTGCACTGTTGGTGAGCGAAACACTAGTCCAGTGGTTCCTAAATTTGGTGCAGACTACCCGGAGAAGCTGTCTGACAAATCAGGCGAGCACCAAGCAGTCCCAGTCTATCGTATATGCACGAGATTGAGAAAAAATAGGTACTCACCTGTGTACTGGGGGTGTATTGCAATACTGCTGTGGTAAAAAGCACCTTGCCGATTTCTTGAAACTTAAGGTTTAAAGCGTTCTGTTGGAGCAGATGCAGGCCATCATTTTTCTCCATCTGTTTAATCCTGAGTTTGGGATTGTGATTACGTTTGAACGGGTAGAAATCGCGGATGTAATGTGAATTGTTGCAGATAATGCCTGCAAAAAAACGCAGACGGTGAGTTTTTGTAGTGGTAGGACGCACAATTTTCCATTAGTCCTAAACAATGGACAGGGGTTTAACGGATTGCCCATTGTAGATGAAAAATCCATATAAGGACGTAGCTGTTCCCGATGCAACCGACCTAAACACTCTGTATTCTCTGAACTGTTCGTCCTGCTTTAAACTAACGAAGCCTACACAAACATTTCTACACCTAGGACTTGGTAATTAATACTCATTCTAGTCTCTGGTATAATATACTATCGTTCAAGAAACAAAATTAATTAAAAAATCTGTTATTGGTTCTAGAAATAGATTACCACAAAACAACCATAAGAAAACTGAAATGTGTTTACTTACAAAAAGGAAGGCCTCAAGAGCTTCGATGTATCGAAGGAAAGAGATCCGCAAAGCGTGATTACCAAACGCATAATGGATCGGTCTTGAAGTTTTTTAGTGGATGAACTGAGCTTGACAAGTTCTGCTGTTCTACCACTCACATCAAAGGTTGCGGAGCCTATGGCCAATACCATCTGGTTCAATGAACCTGTACAAATCTGAGGACGTTTGTCCTGCATCGGCCAGCAAGCTAGCTGCTACCCGTGACTCGTCCATGACTTTGTGATGAAAACGGTAGCTTTACATATACAGTGTAACAGTGCGAACAAACGTGATTGTGTGGAATCATCAAAATTCGACAGTCTGCGAAGCACTCATTGTTCAGAGACGTGGTCAGCACAGTTTTCAGGTGTCGCAAATGGTTACTTTGTGTAACTTTTCGTGTTGCTAATAAGGCAAGAAATGACGCCCCCTTGTGGTGTAAGCTCGACGATCGCACACAACCACGCAATTCCCTTGGACTATCAGTTCATCACTCGAGTAGGTGACCACCTCTTAATCGAGAAAAGCTCCAACTTTGCGAAGAAAATTTAAGTGTCATATAATGAATAGGGTTAAGTTTTGAGCAACATCTCCCAAAACTTGGATACCCTTTACCACAGAACTCAGAAAATACACAAAGACATAGATAACAGAAGTGCACAGAGAAAACTTTTTGCTTTGAATTTGTTCCTAATGTATTGGCATGTCTACAGGATGAGACAGAATAGCGTGCCATACATTGGTTAGTGTAGTACTCAGGCGAGTCTAGAATCACTGGTGTTTTCCTGCATTGCAGAATCTGGCAAGTAGTATATCTGAAGTGACTTGGATATAACTGGTGGTACTGTGCACATTTTGTATTTAAGAGCCTTAGGATTAGAGTTCGGCAGGATGGATCAATCAAGATCCGACGAGTGGTCATATTCTACACGAAGATGACCAACTTCACTCTTCAGCGGTTTGCTCTAATCTACAGAGTGTATGAAACAAGGCATTGATTTATGGTGAAATCACCAGCTGCCCCAGGCTCGTCAGCGGATTCCTTTGGCATAAGCCAGTAAATGCTCAAGAACTGTTAGGTAACTCAGCTTAGTGACCAATTTGATGAGTCCCAGTGGGTATGGGCTTATCATGATCGGATTACACATTGATCATAGATTTAAATTCAGTAAATACTTATATCAAGCAGATTTATCATATTTCATTTCTTGCCGTACACCGTTCAACGGCTGCTTCAATTTCACACCACATATGAAATAAATTCCCAGCATGACGGCGATACATTAATTTCTAGTAGATATTGCTTCAATTCACGGGAGGCATCAGAAGCACAACTTCAAGTCCCACCCCAACATTTTTCAGACAGTGATCACCGTCATGTTGGAGAAAAATTCCTGATACACAGCTGTGTCGGTCAAAACCAGACGAAAACTTTGATAAATACGCTCGTACAGATTAGAAAGATGTCGTGACTTCTCGGGCTGCTTTAGGATCAGAAACTGCTGAATTTATGTTACTGAATCAGCGTTGGACTGGATTAGGTCCGAGAAGCTGTTACTTGCTAACACAGACAAGTGATCTCGTCTTAAAACAGAAGTAATGAGTATAAACAGACGTTACCTACTGGGCACTGGTGGCGCTTCGTGTTCACTCTTACTATTCACGGACGAGCAATAAAATCTAGTACTATTCATAACACATTATTTATAAAGTGGTGCTATACAGGTATTGCCTTGGTTTCTTATCAGACAGACGCATTCGCTGAGTTTCCGTCGACTTTGTGTTTTACTTGAACTCGCATTGAGCAGATTTCGACAAATGCTATCATTTCAACACAAATTCATTTTGGATAGGAGACTCAACTGAATTCAGCTTAATCTCTCGCTTATTTCGGTTCGCTGAAGTGGAACATAAGTTCGAAAAAAAATTGAAAGTTGTATGACATGATGAACTCTAGACGGGCAAAACCGGGCGTGAGCTGTCGAAGGGTTTTCAGCAACCTAATGAGTAGCATGTTACGTCTAGACAATAACATTTTGCAATATCCCGAATATTGTACCAACTGAGACATTAGGCGCCCTTGTGCAGTATATTTGGTTGAAGTAGACCACCATAAACGAGAGATTCAGCTGGGTTCAGTTGAGTTTTTTTTATTGATTTATTTGTCAAGTTGTTTGTGCAGCCAAATAGGTATCACAATTTGGATGCTGGTTCTAGGTATCAGTTCCTGGAACGTAGTGGGCTGTACTCCACAAGCCGTTATCATTTCAATGCAACTGAGGAATCAGGCCATTCCGCTCGAATAAGAAGGATCAATAGGTCAACTCAAATGCCAACTATCATTTTAACCGATTACAGTTGAACCGATTCATCTAAATGATTGGTTTGTCCGAAGTTCTTTAAACTTGCTGAGTTCACTTCGTGATTTTCAAAGGGCTAATACCTATGCCCAATTCTTGCTACTGACCTTACAAACAAAAGAAATATGGTGTACTTTGTAATACATATGCACTGAAGATTGTAGAACGAGTACAAGAAGGCGGAAGAAGAGTACAACAGGCAGGAGTCCGGTCCAAAACACCGGTCAATCTCCTAAAACCCTGATTCCTTAACCATAACGAAAAAGTTTTCTTTATCAAGTATATTTCCCTGCTCAAGCATTCGAATATACTGGGTATCTTAATTTCAGGTACCGAAGCAAAAGTGCCACACTCACCTGAACGGTCGTCACAAAGAAAATATGAATTGATTTGATTCAGAGGTATTCCACTTGATTCAAGGGCGTCCTTCAAAATATCTTCAAACTGGTAGTCCTGTGGGGTATTAGAGTGTGCACTTCAAGGTCACAACAGCGACTTGTAGAATATAACGTGAAATGAATAAAGCTTTTTCGTGGAACCCGCCGTAAGGAAATAAGGGGGACATTATTCCGAAGTCAAGGAAGTCAGCAAACGAGTTCCGAAGTGATAATTTGCAATTGTTCATTTCGAAAAAGAAAACGATGCTGTTGAGCACCTTAAATTGCTTGTATACTGCATATCCCGGATTTGGTGTACACACACAGTAATTAACCAGATTGCTTGATCTTTATATCATTCTTAGTTTAAAGTGAACTACACACGAATAATTAAGACACTAAGTTTGGGACTGGACAATCCAGCGTTGTCGTTCTTATACCAATTGTCTGACTTTAAAGTGTGACTTCGTTAAATTTAGTTCCTACATGAGTCGTGGTCTGGTTTTCTAATCAGAATATATTCCTCGTCTCATATCAACCGCCAAATCAAAGTGGTCGCCACAGTGAGGATACCTGTGCTTCACTGGAATTTAAAAAGTTCACAACATTCCATTTCCGCTGTTACTGCGCGGTCATTTGAATACAAGCTGATGAATGAATAGCTCGATAATAGGTTACTTATTTGGACTGACGTGGGAGTATATATGTCTGAATAGCTTTCACACAGAATAGTTGTTAAATGCTTCAGCATTAGGACGCAGGTGCTTTTCTGGGAAACTAATTCGTCGCCGTTTGAATGTCGTTGTTGTATTGATCCGTAATAGTGCGATATCGAATAATCGAACCCACCTGTATCCTGTTATACCGGATTGTTTTAAAGGTCCGAAAACAGCGTCTGGATTTTTTTTTAACCATTTCGGTTATCTGTAGCCGGATCAATACCTAAAACGGTTCCATGTTCGTCATAGTGTAAAAAACCAGGTAGCTCTACACCATGGGAAGCATAGGATGTGGGCACCGCATTGACGGAACGGAATTTCATCCCCTCATCATTTCATCTCCTCAGTTGACAGTCAAATCCACCGTTTCACTGTGCGCGTCATAAGCACACTAAATTTCCTTTCCGAACAGACTAATAATTTCAGAATTGGTTTGTGTTTATGACGTTGCCCAAAACTTGGTTAATCTCCTCAGTCGCTGCAAACACGATGTGCACACTAGGACTATTAAAAAAACACGGCTGAAATGTCATGATAAACGAATTCTAGACTAAATCTTCCGGTACAGTGTCCCTTGACATATGCTGCGTTGCTCAAAACAGACGAGATGCCATCCTCTTCTCTGAAAGCAATGACTGATAATCAGCGTGCCTACAAAGTTCCGTAAAATTAGCCTAAAGTCATTCAAAGAGCATGTATCAGCTGCAGAAGAGTCAACTGCTATCAGGCCGAGAAACTGGTCTCTATACCCACAATAGGAATGTGCAAACAGAATGGACAATAGAGGAGGTTTCACGCAGTGAAAACCCAACCATACCAAGTGACATTTACTGATCACGCACAGTCTTGTTAGTGATTTTTCCAAAACTACTGGGTAACTAGCCCATTACCATCTGAAGTTGAACGTCGTATGATACGACTGTACTGACCGGAGGAAAACACTCTTTACCATTATATGCGGGTATTTCTTGTATCCTCATTAGCTGAAAAAGCCCAACCTCATACATATTTGGTCAGACGACTAAAAATAGTTGTTCTGTCGTGAGGCCCCCATCTTACTATTGCTTTACCTCACCGAATACAGAGGTAAAGCGACAGTGCACGCATGTATATACCAGTGAATTTTGACGAAGAGACGATGCTACTGATTTCCAGTTATTTAGGAAGCAAATATACACTTTCTGGCAACTCCTGGATGACCACTGGGAATCTTGATCTCAAGCGGACGACACTCTAACAATTACTAGAAAAAGAAGAGACCTACCTTGTTCTCGTCATGCAGCCTGACCAACTGTGCTACTCCAATGTCATTGTCAAATACGTTGAACTGTTTGGCACACGGAAGGTTGGCAGTCAGTAACAGAGTGGACTGGAAAGAACAATCGGGTTCTTGTACATTACGGAAGTTGACTGCACATTTGGCCAACCTAGGATCAAACTATTTAGAATTGCAAACGTTTCCTAGATAGTGATTCAGGAACAATAAATTTGTTTCGTTTTTTGCTACTAAGGCTCCAACAGTGAACATAAACAAGAACAATGATTGTTGAGCGGTTTCCAGAGCTTGGCAATGGATTTACAAGCGTTTTGTAGCTCAACAAAGCTAACGACGACCAAAAAACATCTGAACTGACAGTACTTCAGCTGACTGCAAAATTGTTATCTTACCATATCAATGAAAGTGGCGAATGACTGAATAGTTTGCGTGACTACTCACAACCACTGTATGAGTAGATGAAAATAATGGCCAAATTGCGAGACAAGTGAGCTACAGAGCTTGAGAACATTAACTGGTTGGAAGTGAAAAGGGAGATCTGGCAGGGTCGAGTATACTGCCATAGAGCTTGGGGTGTGATATCCAGCTCGGACGTTGTCGCCGATACAGTTAACTCGACAGAAAAAGAACACTGCTTCTATGTAATACATCCCAGAATCGATCACAGAAACTGGGCCTTGGAAACGGGCTATGGAGGAAAGTCAAACAATCTAAGAATGCGTGGATGACCCGCTGTGGTCTGAATGCATCCTATTCACTACTGTCCGGTCCTCGTGCAACCAGCCCTTCCTCATATCCGTTCTGAGGAAACAAGCGTGTCAACCGGCCGATATGGCAATTTTCTTACCTACCCCCATAGCCTACTGTGGTGAGAAATTGACGAATGGTTCGGGTAAAGATACGATTAATGCGTTGAGGCATTCTGAGGCCTTCTGACTTGAGGTTGAGGCATTCCGACTTAACTGCTTAGCTGGACGTGTCTAGAAAATCTATAAATGGCTCATCGGGCTTCAGTGGATACACATGTATGTTCAAATATCGTCGGAAGTCGAAGTTGTCTCAAATACGGTAGAGCTACTCCACCTGACATGTGTCTGGTCTTCTGCAGACCGGCAAAACCCATATCTTGAATGCGCCTCTACAAAATCCGAGTCATTAGCACAGTGTTTTGGTCATCCAATCCACTCCTTACGCTTTCTCGCAGGTGGGCGCACGGACGCACTTGCGTAGAGTTAAAGGCCATGGTGGTGAGCCATCGACACTGTCCTCCCTTTGGACATGAGGCTGTGACAGACAGGAACTCCAGCCTTGTGTCCCGAGTACACCAGTGCACCGGAGTATCTGAGTTAGTCTAAGCGAAATGGTGGATATCGGTTCGCCTTAGCGACACACCATAACCAGACCACCTGAGCGGGATCAACCAGTGTGCTGACTCAGCAACGAGAGAAGATAGCGATGCTTGTTGAAATCAAGGTCGCCAGCCGAAGAATCGATTGATGTCGCTAGGCTCACGCGCAGCCAAGGCGCGACGGCGGAGAGACAACTGTTTGTGGCACCGGAAGGATGCTGACTATCCTTGCAAGGCACAACCGGCCCCCACTGTAAAAGTGAAACAGGCCTGTCGGCTGCAATTTTAGGGTTGACCTTCAGTTGAGCTTCAGCATGTTCCAGCACTAAACTGTGTCTTATGGGAACGTGCCAAATACCTATCATAATGAAGACCTTAGGATCTCTCGGAATAACACAAATGAGGTGTCGGCAACTTGAAAGGATTATCACCAATCACCACGTGGATGCTGAAAATTCAATTTGGCGGAAATCCGGGAAAATGCTGACCCCGAGTAGTGATGGGATCTTTGCAAGCTAACTTACTAAATAGAATTTGCTGACGGCAAGATTTGGATCAAACGTCGCTCTACGTCTTCGGCATAGACCTGCGCTTTTGAAGTACCATCAAACTCAGATCGTGACGTTTCATTGGACATGAGGCACCACGTGGATACCGCAGTGGCTTTTGCACCGATTTACAAAGTACCGAAAAAGTTACCAATGTTTATCAAAAAGAAGATCCGAGCCGCTATGAGGCTCATTGGCCTAAGTATTTACTAGCCTGAACTTTGTATTCAAAAGCGATTTGTAGCGCTGAGGCGACCCACTAACCAAGCGACAGGATTGTCCTACTCCCCTGCCCCGTGTTAGTTCTTAACCAACCACGAGTCTTACTCCGACCAGCGAATTCGGTTTTGATCAAGATTGTCGTACATCCTGTCGATTTTTGTGCTATGTAAACGATTGAGTATGACAATAAGATATCGAAATGGTATATTTTACTCAATCTGTCACACTCGCTCGATTCTATGGCGTGGATCTAAACTTTCGGCGCGTCAGAACCTCTGGTTTTTGCAGTGGCAGGAAACAACAAGGTTTGGTACGGTACGACACCCGGCAGATAGAAACTCAACGAAGTTGCGTCGAAACACTCTGTGAGAGGTTGCAACGCCCGGGCCCGCTTTAACTTAGAGGAACTGAGACGCCTGATCAAGACTTTGTTTTAGATTATCAGAAATCGTACGAGCACAAAACCTGCCAGTATGTTTGTCTATCGGGCCCAAACTAACCCGAGAGAGTAAGGATGGACACCGATTGAAACTAGGGCAAGATACGGCTCATCCTCCGCAAAGGTCTTTCTACGAAAATTGGATAAGTTGGTGGTTAACCCAAGTTTAGGTTACCACCATTCTCAAAACAGGGTTTGACGAGTCCCAACATGAAATATTGCAGGAAACTGATGGAGGCGTTCTCCAGAATCAGAACAATTACAATGCCGCACACGAGAAAAGAGCTGAGTTCTGGTCACTCAAACTTTGATACTGTGCAGTGAAAGTTGAAAAAAAATTTGATCACGCTCATAAAAGCATAACAAATTTTGTTATGTCAAAGATTACAGGGAGGTATGTGTCCATGAAACCGTTGGTGTTTTTAGATGAAAAGTTGATAGTTCGTTTAGCTTCAAAATTAGGAGCACCAATTGAGTAGGCTTGTCTGTACCTGAAATCGGCAATTGCTGTTCATGTGGAACAGCAAATATGGACATTAACATAACCAACTCAGTCCTATCCGGGCAGAAGAAAAACCAATAGGATATTCGGATATAAAGTTTCATATGGGATGCCATTCGAAATAGAGACAGTAGGTTGTTACTCGTCCTCAAGTAACGAGCGTCCCCTGCTATGGACTCCTAACTGTAAGTGTTATCTGAGATGTCTGCTCGGTTGTCCTTGGGTTCCCGATGACAGGTTCAATAGCGTACCGAGGTGGCGCGTTCGCGGTGAACGTTTTGCTGCTTGGCGCGCCTTGTGTAGTTTTTTTCTGGACTTACTGTCGCATCTATTAGCAGTTTCAACGTAAGTCACGAAATGAGCTTTTAGAATCGAAGTAAAAAGGGACTGGCGTTGTAACTCAATGAAATAACGAGTGCAATTCTAAAAAGAATCACTTTTTGCGGGTACAAAGGCATCCAATGCATACACTCTCAACCGGGACAGCTAATCTCGCCTCTCCAAGCTCTGAACTAGGACCGCATGGCAAGATAAGTCAGCATCATCCGCAGATACTTTAGGTGCTCTCTTAGCAAAGGCTGAGGTCAAAACCTAAGGTAGCGAAGCTTTGTTAACGACAGACTACCTTTACACATTTGCTTTCGACTGAAACTGTGAGAATGCATACATGACAGCTGCTGATTGCCGGTAGTCGTGGACGCACTCGCACTCTCAAAAAAGTGTTTCTTCAATTTCTCTCAGTATTTCATTAACTGACGACGAAAAAACTGAAATTATTTCCGAATCAAGTCGTTCCTATAATCTGATATAAGGAATTACAGCTAAACGAGTAACAAATGCATTTGAGCGACAGTACCTCTAAAATGGATGTACTGAGTTTACATAAATTAGATGACGAAACAAGCAGTGAACTGAATGATTCCAGGAGCCATTGTATAGTTTAATAAATAGCTTTCGCTAGTTGACTTCGTCTGCGCTCGATATTTCTAAACAATTTTAGAACTTTTGGATGGACAGATGTGTGAAACGTGAAACTAGCCGTTTCATGCTCCGTTTATCCGTCTGTTCTATTGCGACGGACCTGCTCCAGTTAGGATGTCCATACGGGATATCACTGATTTGTGAATGTTTTCAACCCTAGAACCTTTCTTTAATACCACTTAGGAAAAAGGAGTTAGGAGCTTACGTAGAACAATGAAGCGGTATTAATTGGTGCGCTTGGCCTCAAAAGGTGACTTCAAAGTTAGTCTAGTTTAAAGGGCTTTGCTCAGTCGAGTCAAACTGACAAGACAGGAACAGTTGTTTGCTTTTTACTGGAATTCTTATTTTACTAATCAGCTGCTTCAAGGTGCACGACACTTGCTTCTTGGAATTTTTCTGGATCGTCGACTGTGTGGTCCTCCTGATCTTGTCTCCTCATATTGTGTACATCCATGCCTACTGCATTGCCAAAAAGAACATCCTTGAAGGATTTTTTACCCTACCAATGGTACAACCTCAACGACCGACAGTGTCAGCTCCACAATGAGACGTTCTTAAGGACAATTCTGTTGAAGGTGGAACCTGACTATCAGATCCGATAATGTCGTTGGATAAATCTCAACCGAAAAAACTTGTTTCCTGATCTGTTATCTAACTACAACAGTAAATTGTCTGCATGGATATTTCCTCTGGAGACCGTGACTCAACACAGACCCTTTTTGTTTGATAACTTGAAGCATATGCCTATTTCAAAGTAGATCTTTAGTGGTGAATACTTATTAAATGATATGACATTTATGAGATCAATTCAGGTGGTTATTTGACAGCCAGCTGGGCCGATAAAAAGTACGATAATATGGAAAAGAGTCGTAATAGTAAAAAGCAAACTATTCGATGCTAAAGAGACTTGATTTCCCAAAGAAAACGGGTTAAAAACTTACGTCGATTTGCTCTCGGCGCAAGGTTTGCTTCAGATCTTTGAAGTAGATATTTTGAACATGAGGTACAACCTAAAGAAACATGGAAAAATGAATTACTTTGATATTTTCTGTAAAATTTTAACCTGAGCAAGTCGCCTACAAAAAACTACCAATATTTCAAAGCCAGGCCATAATAGTAGACACTTGAAATTTGTATTATTCAGTTGTAACAGACTTGCTAACGGAGGTCGAAGATCTGAACAGCCTTCATTGTAGAAAGATAGTCTTTTCAGCTTTCCAACATACGGGTAACACTTTTCGCTGTAGTCAAGTAAGCACTCTTTATCAGCGGGAATATGAAACCCGTCGTGGTGAAACGGTTAGATTATGGAAAATCCCTAGAGGATTGTTTCAGTCACCTAGTCATCTTCACTATGCAAATGACAAACTGGGAACTAGTGTCCCCAGTGAAGCACGTGAGTAAACCCTAGCGCATGGCTCTGTCTAGAGTTAAAGCTGCTCCCTACGGTCCTGTCATACGTCCAATATCTCACTCCGGGACTGCTGTGCTATGATGACATAAACTCAGGTTTGACAGGTTGTTTACAACGTATACCGGAAAACCCACTTAAGGGACACATCCTCTTCGTTTGGGGGGATTTCCCACCAGAAAGCACACTTTTTGGAATGCAGGTTATGTCCTATAGCAGGAGTCGCAAATTCATCTATAACTGCAGTGTCCCTGCCCTAGATCAGCTACTACCACCTCAGCTACATTGTTTCGCCGAGTGAGCAGGCACATTTTTTTCTGATCGGTAGCTGCTCATTTTAGGGGACCAAACGGATGAGATGCTTTCGAGCCAAAAGTGACAAAACGCAGCACAACTTGGTACACTTATGTGGAAACGATTATAGTGCATTCGCCGAAGTCGATATGCCCACGTTTGGTGACTGAATAGCTGCCAATCAGCGTACAATTAGACAGCCGCAAACACTGTGGACGGAGCTTATTATGGGGCTGTGTTCAAGACCTTGACACCTATGCGCACCTGACAGAATATGCTAGGCGGACAAATTGTGGTAGCCTGTCGTAAGCGGACTGTCCACCAAAAATAAAGGCATAACTGTGAGCAAGCTTTACTGGTTTATGATTAAGGTTTGGTGTCATTTGTCGAGTTCTTTCGGTTTAACATGACGGTTTCTGTTGCACGGTACCATAGCACTCAGGGGCGGTTATTCGCACACTGGTGGCGTTGTAACGGATAGCCTAATGGGATTCCAGTAACCACTTGGTTAGCCGTAGTAGGTCTCAAAGCTTCGCATTTCTGTGCAGATAACCACTTCTCTGGCCTCCCTGTCGAGTTCCAGGAAGCTCGGAGACACGAAATTGTAGTCATTATTTCCAGAACTTACCGAAAGGTGTACAGTAGCGAAATTTTGAACGCCGTTCTTTAGTTGACTGCGGATTTGTAGTTTTAGGATGAGAGTTTTGGCAACTGATCGCAGACAGTCTAACCAGAAGAAATCGTTTCGCATCAGACTGAATTCGACTGAACCAGTATTTGTCATTTACAGAGCGATTCGAGTGGTCGTGAAATACAGGATAAAAGGCGCTGGGGCAAAAAGGCAAACCTGCTGCGGTCCTGTGCTGATTTCGAACTCAGTTGAGGTCCATACCCGGCCTTGCACTCAAACGCGAGAGGACATCAAACTTGCCCGCAAAGCAATGCTTTCGTGGAATTACCCGCACTGATTTCTTACTTATTGGAAAGAAGGCTTTGGAAAAGTCCACAAAAGTCTGTGGAGTGACTTGTTCTGTTTGCGATATTTCTCATGTAAATGTATTGCTGTAATTGCTAAATCGATCGTACTTATTGAGTATGGTTTTTCAGCAAAGTTCTCCTTCCTTGTGAGCTTAGTACACTTCGAGCTCTAACCTACTGCGTACAGAGGACTAAGTCTATGTTAGCTTTTGGTCTTCTGTCGAATTTCTTCCGTTTGATGCAAAGTAGACATTGTTGAGTGTTTGAGATACCGTGGAACACCCTTCGTGTAATATGGGTGGAAAAGTTCATTCCACTGTTTCAGTCTTAGTCTGAACAGCTCTGTAGCTTCCTTCGCCATTTTTATTCGGTCTGTGACCGTCTGAAGCTCCGCTACGGTTAAAAATGTAGGCCATTTGATGTGGACTGAGGGGCGACTTTACAGGTTTTGGCCAGTTGAGTAATCGAACGGAGATTTTCACAGACCGTCGAGATTTGCTCATGCCTGCTAACTCTTTCACCAGTTAGCTTGTCTAGTGCGAGTTGGGGATGTTGAACTTTCAGTTCACGAATTTCTTTCGCGCAGGTAAAAATTCCTCGTCAGTGACGTACGATTGGAATTCTTTACTTCGTTTGGTCAAGCATTCGTTTACGCTTTCCACTTTTGCGTTGTTGAATCTGTCCGACCTTGGGTTGCTTTGACAAAAGCCGAAATTTCCTCAATCAAGACCGAGTTTGGTCGATCACTTCCATCACTACGACCTTTCCGACTTTATATTTGCATCTGTCGGATTTACTGGTCTCGAAGCAAATTTTGAACCTGACTATTCCAAATCACCTTGTGAAGACTAAAAAAAGATTTCCATTCACTGCGTTTTCATTTTTCTTTCAAACAATACATTCAATCTACACTTCGGCAGTTTTCAGTTGGCTACACCCAGTTTGTTGTGATCTGCGTTACAATCAGCTCCGGATACCACTGTGGTGATCCGCATGTTATCAAGGTTTGTCCAACGCACAATAATACAAATGACTTTAACCAATGTCCGCTTACTCGATGCTCACTCGTGAACGGCGGTATCTGCTCCACATTGAACCAAGTGTTTGTTGACGTTGGCGCGTGATAGATTAGCGATCAAGGCACTAGGTTACTGACAGACAGTTCATTCTTCCAACGCAGCTACGACTTTTCCAGTGCTACAACATAGGTATTGACAACCTGACTCAGCGGCATGGAGCTACGCAGAAAAAGAGTGACACGCTTGAGCGATCACCCTCATGGCCGATCACAATGCAATATCTGATGCCGCACCGACTGTCAGTAATCTATCGCCAGTATCGTTTACACCAGTCCGATTTTGCAGCGTTTTATTGTCTCCTTCCTGATTTTCGCATAACATCCAACTCAAGCACTGAGATCGCTCAACCGAGGAGAATATTCAGTCAAAGATGTAAATTTGATAAGGTCTAAGTTTTGTCTGTCTCTTGTTTGAATGTGACACTTTGGAGGTAAATCAGACAATCAATTTGGCAGCTCTTGCCCTTGAAATTCGGACTAGAGTAGTTGTCATCCACCGTTCAATGCACTCCGTTCATCTCCTGTTGTTTGGGTCGTGTAATCGGAAGAACTAATCATTGTTTGCGTCTGTTTTCTTGATGTGCTCAAAATCAACAGAATCTATGAATTCCATTGTATGGTCAGCCTCGAGGTCTATCCCACTGCGTTCGCGTCCAATTACAACTAGAGAACATTACTTATTAGACCTTGTCTGGTAGCGTCCTCATTTTCCAAATAGGGATCCACAGAAGTTACGTCCTCTCTTTTGGGTAGGTAACCTCATATGTGCTGCAGTGACATTTCTGACGACAGATTAAAGATGTAGGCTTGTTTAAGGTGGCCAAAACTATCCCTAAAACTCACGGTATGGCTGACTTTGTAATGGGACGACAACTAACCAGAGGTTACACAAAGTGAATTATGAAAGTCCGATTTCTGAAGCCTTTGCGACAGCCGGTGTGATCTGGAAAGACGGATCCCTTGGTCTTACAGGTGTTTTAAGCTCGATACGCTCATCATGCACCTGCATTCACAGTCAACGTCCTTCTTAGGGAAAGCAGCACTGTAGCTTTTATTATTCTAGAGATGCTAATCATTTGGGGATAAACAACCCATTGTTCTCACAAGGCTAGCGTAGTAATCAGTACAAATTTATTTTTGCACCATCTTGCAATACGGTTTGTCGCAGTACGGAAACTCAGTGTTCCTCAGCAGTATGCTCTCACTTAGCCTTCTCAGCACGGTTGTACCCTAACGGACAGATTTCCAGCCAGGGTGTAACAGTGGATACCACTGATGAAGCATGCGGGTAGTATGTTTTCTCGTAAATCCGCTTCGCGTCTCTTGAAAAGTGAGATCTGTTGCGGAATTTGTGTAGTCGCTTTGTTGCAATTGCTTGCATTTGAGAAGCAGTCAATGAATATTCAGAAAAGTTCAGGAAGACGCGTTCAAGGAAAAATGGGTATTCAGTTTTGTAAACAAGATGCATATGAGAGTTTTGCTCCCCTGTTCAATAGTCTGTAACTGTTCAGTTGGTGTCTCTTCAATAAACAACTCGACAGCGAAGGTTTTATTTCTTTCAAGGGCAACTTGCTGTATCATTGGAGCATTGGAGCCGGACCAAAATGGTACAGTGGATGCTTTAGTTTGCTGATAGTGCAGATACAGATGAATGGGGGGATTTTGAGTTGGAGCGAAATTGCATTGTAGTCGGTAAATTTGAGTTAACTGGAAATCTGTTACGTCCTAGAAGGATCAACGGCTTTGCTTGTTCTGGTCTAGTTGAAGTGGCCTCACTACGCCGAATGGTCTTGGTACTATTTGGTGGCATTTGACAGACCGAACTAAGTACATTGACCGGAATAAGGGGTACTCGGTAACTTACACTACATGGTTCGTTCGGATTCATAGGGATACATTAAACAGCAGGAAATCAATCAAAGGAAATTTGATAGCCATCAGTCGGGTTTGTCAGGCCGCTCAGCGACATTTTTTAGTCCCACATGATCTGCCAATCAATAGCCAAATAAAAATTGTTGAGTAGCTATGTAAGCTATAGAAGCGCGCGCACTTTCTAAAAGTACAAAAATTCCTTTCAAAGTACCCCAGAAAATTTTTATCAGGCTTACCAAATGGAGGACTGACAATGCACTGGCAATCGCCTCTGGAGCATTAAAGTTGGGAGTTCTTACATGGAACATTATGTAGCCGACCTGAAATAAAAATCATGAAAGTAACAGGAAGTGCTGGACACTCGGTGAAAATAGATGAAAATTCTGACTTGGGAATATGCTGTATGCACCAAGGGATGTTATGTGGTAAGATCATCTTGAATCTAAGACAACCGTATGATTTACTGGGTATTTCGTGTAGGCAGTCATGGAACGAACCAGTAGGATAATTCTGATAACATTACGAGTGGGAGAGAACTCTTGCTAGTTAGGATCTGGTAGCCAGTATTGTCGACCAGCGAGATGGGTGCACATGTTTTCGCATAACTCTTTGTCCTTAACGCCAACTAGCCATTGCTCAAGCGAACGCAAAGGAAGCTAAACTACCCAGCGTCAAGTAACCGCACCGAATTCTCACAGGTACTTTTAAACCCCACCAGATATTTATCCGAATGACAAATGACGGTAAGCATGACTAAGAGGGTCCGAGCACTTCACTCTTCTGAACTTTCTGTATGCAGGATTGATCAGAAGGCTTTTGCATAGCTTTGTTCGTAAAAACATGACATTAGAAAATATGGACGGGCAAACCATAACTGAAATCTCCTCATGAGGTTTCCTCCAGCCGATAGTGGCAAAGCAATCGGTATCATTTTCCTTCTATCAGGATTCATCAGTACTCCATGCGTTGTGGTTTGAAACAAAAGGCCAAATACGATTCAAAGGCCAAACAAAAATTCAACTCAACATGGCACGACAGACGGTCAACCTCAACTCCTAAATCTAAACGGACACGGGTTGGTTAAGATGTGCAGATCTATGGAACGTCTAAAAAACAAAAGTGAAGGAGATTACATCACACTCACGAGGTTGTTGAAAATGACATGGGCACTTTGCTTTGGCAGTTCCGGCAATCGTTGTATCATTTTCCGCAGTGCGAAAATGAGTTCACCCTTGTGTGTTGTGCGTGTCAGGCGCTCGAAAATGAACCGAAGGAAAAGATTTGTGTCCTCAACTAGACACTGGAAGATGCAGTATTCGGCGATTGTGCTTACTGGGAAGAGAGTAAATGAATAAAAATGACTAAAAAACGAACCATTTGTCACAACAGTACACTGAGTAGCATGTCTGCGTGGCATGAAATCCAAGACATTTTACAGTATGTCAGTAGGAGCTGCATACAAGAAGAAATAAACTAAAGTTGTCTCTTTAACAAGTCAAAACTAGTAATGGGATGTCTTACCCGAATTTTTTCAAGACTGGACCAAAATTCCCACATGAAAAATTTGTTCCATGCATTCATTTTAATCCGCTTTAACTTAAAAAGTTCTTAGGATATTGCCTCACAATAGTATTTTTTGGTCAAACTCTGTCTGAGCCATGATTGGTGCTCCTATACAAATCAAAAGCCTGCATAGGTGAGCTACGTTATGCAGTGGATGTCTATTATGTTGGCGTTTGTCTCCCCAAAACGCGATGGACGTAGAGTTGGACACTTCAAAAATTATTAACGCATCGAAGATTCTTTCTAAATTCGTTCAGAGGATGAGATAGTCTACGAGTTAATCGCCTGTCTGTGTGGAGACGTCGAGGCCACATGACAACAGAGACGCACTTTCAGTCATGAGACTGAACTTCACCAAAGTCAGGTTTGACGAGCATGCCATTTTGCCGAACTCTGGAAGCACGCCACAAACAGGCTGTCCTACCTGTATTCATATGCTGTAATTTAACATACAGGATCTGGCGTGACGTCAGTGATGCGCCTCCTGGTTAACACAATAACTGCTTGTTATAAGTTTTCCCTTACTAATTGGTCTGTATGCACGCAATGTTCTGCATAATGCTTCAGTCTTCAAGTCGTACCAACAGTCCCTAACTGTTGGCAAATTGTTTCTCCCCTTATCAAGGGTTCAAGTAGCTGTACGAGTAGGTTAGCTTTATTTTTCGACTGTCCGTTTATTTCACGTTAATATGACCTATGTTTGCATACTATTTCCAGGTGACAAGTATGATCCAACACTGTTGTTTAGTACATATTCTGAGTAATGACATAACCACTGAGCAGAGTCATCCTTCTGTGGTCTTGCGATTGGGATATCTGGCAGCTCATTTATTGGATCATCTCCACAGTGACCGAATGTCTTTTCACAGTCTATCAAAAGAAATGCTGCAAAATTTACCGAGACTGAAAAAAATCGGTTATTTGCACCAAAAGTCCAAATAACGCACGATACCCGCATGTTTTCTAAAAAACCGGTCATAGCAAAAGCGGAATATCCTTCACGGGAGTTGCTAACATTCACCTGCAATTCCATCGTCATTCACGGAGCTGTCGTCCAACAGATGAATCAGTGGAACCGTCGCAGCACAGAGAGCGGATGGGAATATATACTGAGCTTGTTGTAACGGTTGTGGCGGGAACAAGGGTGGTATCATCCCGGAGGTTCTGTCGTCCTCTGTTTACAAGAATGAAAGTAGATGAAGAACAAAATGAGGTTCCGCGTTGCATCACAGCTTCCGCGTATCGTCTACAATGGTGCGTACAGGATAATTTAGTTCGGAAAATTATAGAAAAAGCGCGACTGTTATGAAGAAGAGGCCATCATAGATGATTTCTTGTATCACCTTTGATACATTACAAACCCTAGAAATGACTAATTTTCAGACGAGATTGGGCTTGATCCAGTTCGTTAATTCCACTCTCAGGAGGGTGACATTCAAGCAAACCATTTACAGAACTTCCAGTTAACCTGGCAAATAATAGCTTCAATTGCTAATTTATCTTGGTTTTGATGGGCCATTGGCTGCCCACGGTGCATTCCGATTGGTTGACATATTTCGATTGAAAGGCCTCCAGATACTACACATCTAAAGCCTCCACACATATCAATTGGCTGCATCCGTTGGTCATCGGATGTAACGAAGTCTGCAAGGCTCAACTGATTTTTTACTGGTGGTCCAAAATGCAAGTATGAATTCCACCAATTATGCTAATTTGCAATCAACATCCACATGATAAAGAAACAGCAGCAGCTTCGTGAGAGTTTTTCTGGAAACGGATAGTACAAATGACACGAGAACTGACACAAACGGGTGACATTTTGACAAAGTATATTTGGCTATGGGGAGCCACGGATACGTTTAAAAAGTATTTTGAGAGTTGGGTATTCATTCTAGTCCATTACTCTCATTTCATCAACAAAATGAACGCCAGTACCATTAACAGGAGTTTGCAAAGTTGATCGTCTATGGAGTAGCTGGCATTCGGGAAGCGATTTGTGAATTCATTCACTGGAATATGTGACCTCCCCAACTTGTCAAACAATCTACAATCTTCCTCAAATCTGAAAAAAATCTGCACATTCTCATACTCACCCGTCGTCACTTTATCCGAAAAAGGGTGAACAATCAAGGATAAGTGCAACTGGATCCCATCTTCTGACTGGATTTGTCGAGGTACGTCAAAATGGTAGACTGACCCACAACCAAAACGATTTGGTGACCAATGACAGACACAATACATTACAGTTTGTCCAAAGACCCGGCATGCGGACACATTCGTTTTCCAATAAACCAAACGGAACCATTACCTTCCAAAATTAATCTAATTGTTCAAGTGTTCATTGTATGCAATCAAAATCCATGTTTTGTAACGTGCACACGGATATCAACGTACCGATACCCAACAAAAATAACTCACGTCGGGGAATGCCTAAAGGAAATGCTGAAACAAATCAAAACTCTCTGAAATAAATATTATTGCCTAATTATATAGCGTACCGAGATCTATCAGTTATTTGTTTATTGAGGGAAATTTCATCCTATCAGGTAGAAAGTTTGATAGAGTAGGGCAGAGGAGCACTTTGTAGTTGTTTCACTCTAAAGGAGAATCGATTGCTGTAAGAATCTCTCTCTTGAAAACCAAACTGATTTGCAAATGAGTGTATTTCTCGAAAACAATCCAATTCATGTTCAAGTAGGACATAAGGTTGACGGAAACTCGGGGACTGCGCCTACCTGATGAGCCCCAAGAATGGCGAAACCGGTTGTGGGCTGTCGAAGAGTTTTCAGCAACCTTGTGAGTAGTTTCCTTTGTGAAGATCTCACAGACCACTTCAGGGATTCGAAATCGTGACCTTCTTATCGGTAGACGGAATCTATATCGTCCACACGTTGGTGGCTGCATTAATTGAGCTTCCAGGCGTGCATCAAACAACAATGCAGCTTCGACGCATATAACTCAATAAAAATGAAAACCTGCACTGTGTTACTTAGCATTCCAGCGTGGAAGGTCTTCTCCTGAGAACAAATCTACAACTTGGGTTTGGAACTGTCGTTTTAGCTCGCTTATACATTCTAAACTGGGCAATAAGACGCCTGTATTAATTTGTGGAGATCTTATACTTTATACCCAAAACCGATATCTGAAAAAATTAAATTAAATTCGTAATTGCCATAAAGAACATACTTGAGAGTGGGAAGTAAAGATCAGTAAATTATATGAGCAGGGTTGGTCGATAAGTCAACCCCAATGAAGTCATGCGATCTCGGGTAATTACACAAAGTCAGTTCGCTATTCTTAGTGGACACATCTTAATCCGGCTGACAAACCTAACCATCGGCAGTCAGGGTGGAGTATCCTAACCAACGACACTCACTGGTCGAGTAGATAGGCCGTCAACCCGAAGTCAACCAACATCTACAGTGTTGCTGACTCATTTTACACTGGATGCTGTTTGATCGTTTGGGTGAACCTCAGACAAGTCTTGCTCCGGCATTCCAAAACTGTAAGCACTGTAAAATGCATACTAGATGGAATAAGTTCATTACAGTCTGTCTTTTAGGTATATTTTCAGGGGTTTACTACGTTTTTAAATCCCGGTATCACTTTTCAACTCATTCAGTCAGTCCGTTTTGGATGCTTAGAAGGAAAACAAAAAATTACGCATATTTATTATTATGTACCCACCATCGTGCGTTAAACCACTACTCCGAAACCATGGTATGGAACCTTGACGCCAAGATGAGCTTCGACTTTGGATTAGCATCGTACGATTAAGCGGTGCCACACTAAGACGCTTCACAGCAGCCGCAAATTCTTCTTGGATTGGATTTTGACCGCCACAGGTTCCAGCCCCGGAGGTTCCACCAGCAACGTTACCTGCAAACAGGTAAGCAACGGAAATAAAAAGTTTCGTGATCCTTTTCAAGAAATATATCGAACAAAGTAGATTAATTCCTGCAGCTTTTCGATTTGAAGGCAACCAGTTTATCTGCCTAAACATCGACATTCCTCTCTACAGCGGGTGTTTTAATTTATCTGTTGTGCTTTCAGGTTTATTTTAAAGAACACACCGATATCACGATCACCACAATTGCCATTATTCTCTTCTATTTCTCCAAATCGATCTATTGTTATAGAAAATTTAGCTGCCCGAAGGAATATTGCCTTAGAGATATTCGGAGGAACAAATCAATGAAGAACCACCCAAAAATCGAAAATTATTTCATACAGGTACGTTGCAATTACATGCTTTCGATATGGTCTCATCGGGCGGATACGACACCTTATTCTTTGTCACTTCAGAGCGCTGGTCGGGCCACGACCCACCAACGTCCCAGCTCAGAGTATCTTTAACTCTGATCCAATGTGGCTTTCTAATTGGCAGGACGATTTTTTTCTGTTGACGTTATTGATCAGCTGTATTGTAATTTATGGTTCCTTGAAGACCTCATGTTGTCACGCGCGCATTCGGCTGGCGAGAATGTATCAAAATCATATGATTTCAACGTGTTTGCCAAATCATAGTGGGCATGTTTACCAGGCTAGTTCAAGACCATGTATATCTTTCTAATGTGCTACTAATAAGGTTGCTGAAAATCTGCCTGAGAACATCACAAACGAGAGATCCAGCTGGGTTCCAGGTGAGCCTCTCGAAAAAACCAAATTAGTTTGCAAATGAGTGTATATTCGCCTAGTTCAAGACCACTTATTAGACGGAGGAGTTTCTAAATGACGATATGCTTGTATCATGAACTCATTGGTATTCGTTCGAAAACAAAAGCACTTTGAGTGAGCATATAGGACAACAATGAGTGGAATTTTCACACCTGCTCAAGGGGTGATATGCGAAATCGTGTAAGACTAAATCTAGTTTGTGAGTTTTTCACCTCCCGTTTTTCGGCATTTCCATTCAAAAACAGTGGAAAATTTAATTTGTTATACTGGTCCTCAAGTCACTCCACTTTTTGTCCCTCAAAATTATCTCAACTAGCTGATCTCCAGGTCTACTAAAGCATTCATTTCGCTTTTGAAGGTCAACACGCAGAACGATCGATGTTGCAGCAGTGGTCATTCGTCTGGACTACCAAGGGGCAGATGCGTCGGAGGTTGAAAGAAAGACAAGCCTCTGTTCACAATTCGGTCTTTGATTTCAGTTCTTTTCGTATTCGACTGGACAAATCAACACGAACTTATTGTTTCTGGAGCATTAGAAATCATCGAGGGGCTTACCACCATTCACAGCGGAACGAGACGAACGAGGTTTCCCGTAAACTGTATCAGGATTCATCAGTACTCCATGCGTTGTGGTTTGAAACAAAGGGCCAAATACGATTCAAAGGCCAAACAAAAATTCAACTCAACATGGCACGACAGACGGTCAACCTCAACTCCTAAATCTAAACGGACACGGGTTGGTTAAGATGTGCAGATCTATGGAACGTCTAAAAAACAAAAGTGAAGGAGATTACATCACACTCACGAGGTTGTTGAAAATGACATGGGCACTTTGCTTTGGCAGTTCCGGCAATCGTTGTATCATTTTCCGCAGTGCGAAAATGAGTTCACCCTTGTGTGTTGTGCGTGTCAGGCGCTCGAAAATGAACCGAAGGAAAAGATTTGTGTCCTCAACTAGACACTGGAAGATGCAGTATTCGGCGATTGTGCTTACTGGGAAGAGAGTAAATGAATAAAAATGACTAAAAAACGAACCATTTGTCACAACAGTACACTGAGTATCATGTCTGCGTGGCGTGAAATCCAAGACATTTTACAGTATGTCAGTAGGAGCTGCAAACAAGAAGAAATAAACTAGAGTTGTCTCTTTAACAAGTCAAAACTAGTAATGGGATGTCTTACCCGAATTTTTTCAAGACTGGACTAAAATTCCCACATGAAAAATTTGTTCCATGCATTCATTTTAATCCGCTTTAACTTAAAAAGTTCTTAGGATATTGCCCCACAGTAGTATTTCTTGGTCAAACTCTGTTTGAGCCATGATTGGTGCTCCTATACAAATCAAAAGCCTGCATAGGTGAGCTACGTTATGCAGTGGATGTCTATTATGTTGGCGTTTGTCTCCCCAAAACGCGATGGACGTAGAGTTGGACACTTCAAAAATTATTAACGCATCGAAGATTCTTTCTAAATTCGTTCAGAGGATGAGATAGTCTACGAGTTAATCGCCTGTCTGTGTGGAGACGTCGAGGCCACATGACAACAGAGACGCACTTTCAGTCATGAGACTGAACTTCACCAAAGTCAGGTTTGACGAGCATGCCATTTTGCCGAACTCTGGAAGCACGCCACAAACAGGCTGTCCTACCTGTATTCATATGCTGTAATTTAACATACAGGATCTGGCGTGACGTCAGTGATGCGCCTCCTGGTTAACACAATAACTGCTTGTTATAAGTTTTCCCTTACTAATTGGTCTGTATGCACGCAATGTTCTGCATAATGCTTCAGTCTTCAAGTCGTACCAACAGTCCCTAACTGTTGGCAAATTGTTTCTCCCCTTATCAAGGGTTCAAGTAGCTGTACGAGTAGGTTAGCTTTATTTTTCGACTGTCCGTTTATTTCACGTTAAGATGACCTATGTTTGCATACTATTTCCAGGTGACAAGTATGATCCAACACTGTTGTTTAGTACATATTCTGAGTAATGACATAACCGCAGAGCAGAGTCATCCTTCTGTGGTCTTGCGATTGGGATATCTGGCAGCTCATTTATTGGATCATCTCCACAGTGACCGAATGTCACAGTCTATCATATCAAAAGAAATGCTGCAAAATTTACCGAGACTGAAAAAAATCGGTTATTTGCACCAAAAGTCCAAATAACGCACGATACCCGCATGTTTTCTAAAAAACCGGTCATAGCAAAAGCGGAATATCCTTCACGGGAGTTGCTAACATTCACCTGCAATTCCATCGTCATTCACGGAGCTGTCGTCCAACAGATGAATCAGTGGAACCGTCGCAGCACAGAGAGCGGATGGGAATATATACTGAGCTTGTTGTAACGGTTGTGGCGGGAACAAGGGTGGTATCATCCCGGAGGTTCTGTCGTCCTCTGTTTACAAGAATGAAAGTAGATGAAGAACAAAATGAGGTTCCGCGTTGCATCACAGCTTCCGCGTATCGTCTACAATGGTGCGTACAGGATAATTTAGTTCGGAAAATTATAGAAAAAGCGCGACTGTTATGAAGAAGAGGCCATCATAGATGATTTCTTGTATCACCTTTGATACATTACAAACCCTAGAAATGACTAATTTTCAGACGAGATTGGGCTTGATCCAGTTCGTTAATTCCACTCTCAGGAGGGTGACATTCAAGCAAACCATTTACAGAACTTCCAGTTAACCTGGCAAATAATAGCTTCAATTGCTAATTTATCTTGGTTTTGATGGGCCATTGGCTGCCCACGGTGCATTCCGATTGGGTGTCATATTTCGATTGAAAGGCCTCCAGATACTACACATCTAAAGCCTCCACACATATCAATTGGCTGCATCCGTTGGTCATCGGATGTAACGAAGTCTGCAAGGCTCAACTGATTTTTTACTGGTGGTCCAAAATGCAAGTATGAATTCCACCAATTATGCTAATTTGCAATCAACATCCACATGATAAAGAAACAGCAGCAGCTTCGTGAGAGTTTTTCTGGAAACGGATAGTACAAATGACACGAGAACTGACACAAACGGGTGACATTTTGACAAAGTATATTTGGCTATGGGGAGCCACGGATACGTTTAAAAAGTATTTTGAGAGTTGGGTATTCATTCTAGTCCATTACTCTCATTTCATCAACAAAATGAACGCCAGTACCATTAACAGGAGTTTGCAAAGTTGATCGTCTATGGAGTAGCTGGCATTCGGGAAGCGATTTGTGAATTCATTCACTGGAATATGTGACCTCCCCAACTTGTCAAACAATCTACAATCTTCCTCAAATCTGAAAAAAATCTGCACATTCTCATACTCACCCGTCGTCACTTTATCCGAAAAAGGGTGAACAATCAAGGATAAGTGCAACTGGATCCCATCTTCTGACTGGATTTGTCGAGGTACGTCAAAATGGTAGACTGACCCACAACCAAAACGATTTGGTGACCAATGACAGACACAATACATTACAGTTTGTCCAAAGACCCGGCATGCGGACACATTCGTTTTCCAATAAACCAAACGGAACCATTACCTTCCAAAATTAATCTAATTGTTCAAGTGTTCATTGTATGCAATCAAAATCCATGTTTTGTAACGTGCACACGGATATCAACGTACCGATACCCAACAAAAATAACTCACGTCGGGGAATGCCTAAAGGAAATGCTGAAACAAATCAAAACTCTCTGAAATAAATATTATTGCCTAATTATATAGCGTACCGAGATCTATCAGTTATTTGGTTATTGAGGGAAATTTCATCCTATCAGGTAGAAAGTTTGATAGAGTAGGGCAGAGGAGCACTTTGTAGTTGTTTCACTCTAAAGGAGAATCGATTGCTGTAAGAATCTCTCTCTTGAAAACCAAACTGATTTGCAAATGAGTGTATTTCTCGAAAACAATCCAATTCATGTTCAAGTAGGACATAAGGTTGACGGAAACTCGGGGACTGCGCCTACCTGATGAGCCCCAAGAATGGCGAAACCGGTTGTGGGCTGTCGAAGAGTTTTCAGCAACCTTGTGAGTAGTTTCCTTTGTGAAGATCTCACAGACCACTTCAGGGATTCGAAATCGTGACCTTCTTATCGGTAGACGGAATCTATATCGTCCACACGTTGGTGGCTGCATTAATTGAGCTTCCAGGCGTGCATCAAACAACAATGCAGCTTCGACGCATATAACTCAATAAAAATGAAAACCTGCACTGTGTTACTTAGCATTCCAGCGTGGAAGGTCTTCTCCTGAGAACAAATCTACAACTTGGGTTTGGAACTGTCGTTTTAGCTCGCTTATACATTCTAAACTGGGCAATAAGACGCCTGTATTAATTTGTGGAGATCTTATACTTTATACCCAAAACCGATATCTGAAAAAATTAAATTAAATTCGTAATTGCCATAAAGAACATACTTGAGAGTGGGAAGTAAAGATCAGTAAATTATATGAGCAGGGTTGGTCGATAAGTCAACCCCAATGAAGTCATGCGATCTCGGGTAATTACACAAAGTCAGTTCGCTATTCTTAGTGGACACATCTTAATCCGGCTGACAAACCTAACCATCGGCAGTCAGGGTGGAGTATCCTAACCAACGACACTCACTGGTCGAGTAGATAGGCCGTCAACCCGAAGTCAACCAACATCTACAGTGTTGCTGACTCATTTTACACTGGATGCTGTTTGATCGTTTGGGTGAACCTCAGACAAGTCTTGCTCCGGCATTCCAAAACTGTAAGCACTGTAAAATGCATACTAGATGGAATAAGTTCATTACAGTCTGTCTTTTAGGTATATTTTCAGGGGTTTACTACGTTTTTAAATCCCGGTATCACTTTTCAACTCATTCAGTCAGTCCGTTTTGGATGCTTAGAAGGAAAACAAAAAATTACGCATATTTATTATTATGTACCCACCATCGTGCGTTAAACCACTACTCCGAAACCATGGTATGGAACCTTGACGCCAAGATGAGCTTCGACTTTGGATTAGCATCGTACGATTAAGCGGTGCCACACTAAGACGCTTCACAGCAGCCGCAAATTCTTCTTGGATTGGATTTTGACCGCCACAGGTTCCAGCCCCGGAGGTTCCACCAGCAACGTTACCTGCAAACAGGTAAGCAACGGAAATAAAAAGTTTCGTGATCCTTTTCAAGAAATATATCGAACAAAGTAGATTAATTCCTGCAGCTTTTCGATTTGAAGGCAACCAGTTTATCTGCCTAAACATCGACATTCCTCTCTACAGCGGGTGTTTTAATTTATCTGTTGTGCTTTCAGGTTTATTTTAAAGAACACACCGATATCACGATCACCACAATTGCCATTATTCTCTTCTATTTCTCCAAATCGATCTATTGTTATAGAAAATTTAGCTGCCCGAAGGAATATTGCCTTAGAGATATTCGGAGGAACAAATCAATGAAGAACCACCCAAAAATCGAAAATTATTTCATACAGGTACGTTGCAATTACATGCTTTCGATATGGTCTCATCGGGCGGATACGACACCTTATTCTTTGTCACTTCAGAGCGCTGGTCGGGCCACGACCCACCAACGTCCCAGCTCAGAGTATCTTTAACTCTGATCCAATGTGGCTTTCTAATTGGCAGGACGATTTTTTTCTGTTGACGTTATTGATCAGCTGTATTGTAATTTATGGTTCCTTGAAGACCTCATGTTGTCACGCGCGCATTCGGCTGGCGAGAATGTATCAAAATCATATGATTTCAACGTGTTTGCCAAATCATAGTGGGCATGTTTACCAGGCTAGTTCAAGACCATGTATATCTTTCTAATGTGCTACTAATAAGGTTGCTGAAAATCTGCCTGAGAACATCACAAACGAGAGATCCAGCTGGGTTCCAGGTGAGCCTCTCGAAAAAACCAAATTAGTTTGCAAATGAGTGTATATTCGCCTAGTTCAAGACCACTTATTAGACGGAGGAGTTTCTAAATGACGATATGCTTGTATCATGAACTCATTGGTATTCGTTCGAAAACAAAAGCACTTTGAGTGAGCATATAGGACAACAATGAGTGGAATTTTCACACCTGCTCAAGGGGTGATATGCGAAATCGTGTAAGACTAAATCTAGTTTGTGAGTTTTTCACCTCCCGTTTTTCGGCATTTCCATTCAAAAACAGTGGAAAATTTAATTTGTTATACTGGTCCTCAAGTCACTCCACTTTTTGTCCCTCAAAATTATCTCAACTAGCTGATCTCCAGGTCTACTAAAGCATTCATTTCGCTTTTGAAGGTCAACACGCAGAACGATCGATGTTGCAGCAGTGGTCATTCGTCTGGACTACCAAGGGGCAGATGCGTCTGAGGTTGATAGAAAGACAAGCCTCTGTTCACAATTCGGTCTTTGATTTCAGTTCTTTTCGTATTCGACTGGACAAATCAACACGAACTTATTGTTTCTGGAGCATTAGAAATCATCGAGGGGCTTACCACCATTCACAGCGGAACGAGACGAACGAGGTTTCCCGTAAACTGCAATTCGACTTGACAACACAGACAAGAAGTAAAATAACGAAAATTGAGAAATGGCACACTTACCACCCATCACCCACTTTTGTAAATATGCCTACTCTCTGAAATCAAGCAAATCAGCTGCAGGAATCAGATACGTTTGTGGTAAAATCCACAGCAGTAGAACAAACTGGGGCTTATGCGGAAAAGAATCTCTGAACAGCTGTCACAATACTTGACTGCGACCATTAGCTGATCAACTGGAAGCACGAAGCTGTGTTCCCCATCGACACCCGTTGCACATGTTCGAGTCATGAGTGAACCGGCTGAGCGACTAACATCGTCACCAAAACTTTTGCCTAAATTGCGAGGCTATGCACATCGACAGTATTAACCAAACACGTCGCTTGCGACACCCTAGGCGAGCATATTAAAACCGATCGGAACTGGATGAATAGATTTTCCCTCACAATATATTCACCTACAAATGCTACACCTGAAGTAAATGAAAAATTCCCTGTGATCCATCGAGTTCATTTAGACGAATTCCGAGGATATGCTTAAAAGAGGTGAGCAGCAAGTACAAATAAAGCAAAACCGTAAATCACTGCCATTACTGAGCTCTATTTGTTCTCTACAGAAATAACCACTACATAACACGATGGAGGCACATGATAGGGGCTCACCCTCATCCACTAAGGTTTCGTCGCGATGCTCTTTCGTAAATGCCGGTTCGATAGCAGCCCTCTCCAAAACGGGACAAGTGGTCAGGTGGAATTGTCTTCGAGCGTCACGACGGCGTAGCGTTTCGGCTGTTAGCGCTCGAGCAAGTAACTCTTGCTGCTGTTTTCTGCGGGATGTGGAAGCCGTTACAAATGTTTTCTGCAAATGGAATGTGTAAATTTAGTTTATTTTTTGGGGATGACTCAAATTCGCACTATGCTTCGTCAGATTTCCCTTACGACCTACCGTGGCTTCATTTTGCTTAAGCTGGACTTCCTCAGCAGAGGTTCCTTTTCGTATCTGCCACATCGGATCCGGTGCATCTTGGCCGATGTACCCTAAGGTTGGAGACGGAAGGACGAATTCAATAAACAGAGGAGGCAGTCTGAGGTGAGCTGATGCGCCCTCATCTAGACGAGACCATACATGGTGCCGGTGTGTCCAAAGGGCACGGAACCTGGAAGGAAATATGAGGCTGAAATTACCAACGAACCTTGATTAGATACCAACCTATTCTCTCAGAATACTGCAGTTTTCTTTCCAAAAGCAGTAAGCTTCCAAGTTATTAGTTACTTATTTAACATATATAAACATTTAGGGCTACCACCATTGTAAATAATACGACAAAATTGATCTTCATGTCTTCACACTTTTCAGGAGTAATGGTTTCACATCACGTAACCTGGATCAATTAACTGAAAAGCTATAGGGGTCAGTAGTTCACACCGGATGAAAGCTGTCGGGCGTCTTTCATGCTTTTCGGGTGACGTTTTGTGGAGTGGTGAGTGAAAATTAGAGATACTGTTATCGTGATTGTCACATGTCCATTACCAGAATGGACACAGTGCCCTTCAACTTACGGTGTATACGTTGACTGATTTTTCTAGCGTCTAAACTAATTGGCTAAGTCCCGCGACAAAATTATGACGCCAAAACTCCACTGTCAGTGAATGCAATTGAATTCTATTTGGTTAGTAAGTAACTGAGGGTGTTAATAAACAAAAGTGTAATTCACAAAAATGGTACTCTAAGCATCTGGCAACGTTGTTAGAGAGTGAAAAGATTGACATTGTTATGTAACCAATCCATACTACATTCCCACTGGAAGGCCGTTTTGCCTGGCATTCTAACTTTAAGTGTTTGGATGAAAGTGTGACTGAAGTAGCGCGCAAAAAACGATGCCAGACGGCACGTCCACACCGGAAGCACTGGACACTGACTTGTGTCTAGTGTTGTGTGGTGCGACCGGTACGGCCTCTTGGTTG